AGGTGTTGCCACTCTGATGCACCTGTGGGACGAACACACGTACCTGGAAGGATGAACCTCGGATTCAGCCCTTACTTCATGGACTACATGACTGGCGGGCCCGCTTAACTGCAATTCAGCACGATGTTCCGAGCACCTGGACCTCGGTCCTTGCTCAGCGAACCTACCTACCAGGGGCTTGGTTTCGAGACGAGACACAACCACCTCCCTGCCACATGTGGCGACTCGAATCCCAGCTCACAAATACTGACTGGGAATTGACAGCATGGAAACAACGCACCGGGCAAAAGGGGTTGGGCACCGCCCTGCAGCGGTCCTCCGTCGCGTCCATTTCGTCTGACCTCACCCACATGACCGCAGTGAGTGTCCTTGAACACAATCAGGATCGGACTCTCTCCTTTTATCCTTATAGGACAGATACTGCAGCTAAGGATCTAACTCTAGTTCCCAGGGATTGGTACTGGATTGACCTTCGACACCCTGACAAGATGCTCTCTCTCAACCAACATTCTGCTCGTCTGGCCTATGTGAAACTCTTGCCTGACATTGATGTTGATTGGAGCGTCATGACTAAATGGCGACGACTTGGCATTCATCTCTCCAAGACAAACTCACTGCTTTTTGGTGCATTCTACCCACTCTAACAGTAGCAAAACATGCTGGTTTACTTTGGCTGATTATGCACACTGCCACTCCTACTGCTGCTTTTTTGTACTGTCGACGAAAACAAGGCTCCCCCTTTTTGCACAGTTCGCTCCACAGGACATCTGGTGGAAGACCAACAACATCTATGGGTTACATGCAAATACATTCGAGAAGTGTGGACAACACTTAAAAATGCCGCTCTCCTCCCTCATCATCATGGGGACCTTTGGTCCAAGGTCCCCCTGATGCTGTTCTTCTGGGTACTGTACTACCCAGAAGCTTTTGTAAAACCTGAAGCTTATGTATACGAAACCATCAGGGCAACAGTGATGTGGCATCTATGGCGCCACCGTAATGTTGTGGTCAGAAATGGCGAGCCTCCTTCGGTTCAGCAAGTACTGCATAGCCGGCCTTCGGCACATCATCTGCTTGGATTGGGGCAAAAAGATTGGCCAAAGACGAAACTTGCGTGCTAGGGTCAAGTGGTTTCACTGTCGTTGGGCCTGCAACAGTAGACCAACTCTTTTGCTTATTTTCCTGATCCGTTTTAAAAAACCTATTGCTAGATTAGGAAAGGTAATTTTTCCGTGGCTGATTGTTAGCAGTAGGATCTTTCTTGACTTTTTCATTGATTTTGTCACAGGGGGAGGGGCTACACCTCATGAAGCAGGCTGGAGACCTAACGTCCCCTGAATCTGGAATCTGTACCATTGTATTTCTGGCCTTGGGCACTGGGCCCTAATAAAAAGACGA